TTCCAAATAGATAGAGAATGTTTATCAGATCAGTAACACTCTTTTTAACTGCTATTCTAATTCACCTAAAAAACGACCGCTCTCCGTGGATACTACAGAAACAAACAAAGTGGCAAAACTTGAGTATCGGGCCAGTTTTCACTGTGAATTTACACTTCTCGTTCACGTGACCAAAGCAACTCTTGAATAGGGGCTACGGAATCTGACGCAAAGCTAATCTACACTCTCCAAATTCATGAACTTGTGCAACGTACCGCACCCCGGTACGAACTCTCTTTCATGTTGTCTGTCAACAAAGGATCACAGCAGGTGGAAACCCTGTACCGTAGACCTTGGACTCAAGTAAATCAAATCCACTCCAGGCTATCCTTTTTCATTCCCTGAAGTTAATTACTTGTAGCCTAAAAATTACACCATTTCCGTTCTTTCTGGTCAGCACAACACCGGGGCGATCGAGCTGTTCATCCCAAAACACGGTCCATAAACCTTCGTTTTCTAACCAATTTCACACGAGCTAACAACGCGGTCAATTTCAGCTATCAGTTAGCGGTTAGTAGAATCTAGTTTCCAAGCAGTTTTGCTGCGGTAAAAATGTAAAAGAAGGAACATTCTGACACACCACTCTTTTTGTCTTTTTAATCGATTGGAAATACTCCTCTCCAAAAACACTTACTAACTGTTAGAACAAACCAACGGGAAGCCTTACTTTGGCTGGTTTTTCAAGTTAGACATGTTATTCTATACTGTGGGCGTTGAGTAGCCGCTATAAATAATATACACGCAGTTGAGTTTCGATGGTCTTGTTGGTGAACCTCCTTGGATCGCTGTTTACCATAATCTCCAGGATGACAAGTCGTTCGAGTGTTGTGAACTGCTGTCCAAGGATTCGAAGCAGTGCTTGCTTAGGACCGTATGGTAATAGTAAAAAGTACGCTGTGATATAATAATGTTCGATGTTTGCCACGGAGGAGAATTTTGGTAGCTCAGGTAGCACAGCTAGTCGTTGGTTTGTTCGTTCGTGTTATTGACGTGATGGTTGGGCGAATCCACCCACGTTTGGAACACAAAATACGAAAAGGATCACTTGGAGGAGCATAAAACACAACAAACAGGTAATCCCGTTGACAAAAGCACACAGGTCACGGAATTGTGAGTTGAAAAACGATTTCCAGTGACAAAACAGAGTTTTGTCTGGTCTCTCCAACAGATCCGATTTGATGGTTTGTCGAATAATGAATTACGGTAGCGGGATTTATAGTTGGAAAATTTATTATTTTTTTGCACACCCGAAGGGTTGATGTCGTACGATTTTACCAGGCCAGAGGATCATAGCTAACTTTGCATTGTGATACTCAAAAAGTCTCATTTTCTCTGGTTCTCAGAATTGGAGGTTCAAAAAAGTGGATTTTTTACACGACACTACCCCTCCGATCAGTCTGATTAGTGAAATATTGTATGTCTACACATTGACGCAGGTACAAATCCTGCCTAAACATGTAGACCCCACATAAAATTGCTTTTGGCTGTTCAGCATTTTGCATAGGTAAGAGAAGACAATCGTGGATGTTCGAAAGAGCCGGACAATAAAACGCTTTCGGAATATCATGAGAAAAAACGTTAAGTTCCGATAGCTAGGAATAAAGAACACGGAAAACCGAAAGGCGATTATTTTGATCAAATACGAGGGGCTTCACTGGCGTTTTACACCCTTTCAGCTCGTACCATGATGTTTAGTGGATTTTGTAGGCGCCAGAAAAATCACTCAAATTAATTGGAAAACGGTTTGGCATCTGCTGAAAAGTCCAAACACCAAGATCGATCGATAGCCGAGGGAGGCACGAGAGAACTCTTAGTCTCAATAACGTTACCCGCAAAACAATGGAAAGTAATAAACTTTTACTCTGTAATCCAAAACACTCCAGGACACAGCGCGCGAGATGACTCAAGTGGTTAGAGCGCGAATTTACTGACCGGAAGGTCCGTGGTTCGAACCTGACCTCTGCCTCCCGACTTCCCCTGTCTAGGCTTGGGCAACCTGGCAGTATCCCAGCCCTCGTGCTTCCTTCTGGTGTCTTGGCAGCTAGGCACTTGAAGGTTGTTACAGCTGAACGATTATTATTATTACAGCGCGCATCCCTGCAGCTGTTCACGATGCTGTGAGGCGTTATAACCAAACGGTTTTTTTCAGTGGATACGAACGTCATAGCGCAGACCCTAACCCTCGTAACCTGCGAACTGCATACTGAGCCTACCGGCCGGCACTGGCGGGTGCTGACGCCTTTTTCCATCAGTGGCGCATGATTTTCTCTTCCTCATCATACATTTATTCCAGTGTTCTGCGACAACCTTCACGCCTCACGAACATTACCGTACATTCGGCCCCAGTCAAACATTTTCTAATGCGTACCAAATGTAACCGTGGTTCATAGACCATTTTGTCACCATAAACATGGTACGTGTGAATTGGGAATGCGTAAGCGCGCGTTCGAGTGCAAACACTAGAGACTGGTGTGTCGCAGTTCAATCGTATTTTATTCATCAATGCTGAACTGGATCAAGGGTTGACAACACAGATGTAGTAAGCCAGTCGACCGGAACCAAGTGTCGGCACAACTTTCTTGTGGATGCATTTGTGTGTAACTTTAACTTTTCTCTTGTCCACTGGCGTTCGCTTGCTTTTTCTAGCGTAATTTATGGACAGCGATAACACCTGTTCCGCTACCCTGGATGTTATGGTCCCATACTTTGTCCCTGTTCTACAAAAATACTCTCCTGAGCATATATCTTTTAGGCACTCATTTTTGCCATCTCTAGAACGGACAACAACAGCCCCGTTCGGCGATATACTCTTCTACAAAAAATGAGATGAAGGCTTGAAATGAATCTCAACCGAGTCTCTCCTTCATGGTATTCTCTAATTTAATGTGCCTCACAAGTGATGCCTCACTTTTGACTAAAAAGGATTCCAATATATCGAAGTATCTTCATCGATGAGACGATAATACAGGTGTTGTGATTCAGGGAGCTCAACAGTTCAGCTCACTTTCATCTTATACTTGTGTATAGATAAACACGGGGGAAAAGTTGGTAGCTCAGGCAGGGTAGATGGTCGTTGGCTTGTTCGCTGAGCTGGGCAATTGGATTGCAAACGTTTCATCCCCAATCGAGCTGACATCATCAGTGCGTAGTGGGGCGTAGCGGTGGGTTAGTGGTTGTTCGTTGAGTAGTGTTACTATACTTGCTACGAGCCGGGATGACCTTTGACCACGATGAGTTGTTCGGTCGGGTGGTCCCTTTGGTTGCTCTGTTATCCCGTGTCCTCATTCCCCCGTGCACTCAAAAAGTAGGAACAACCAGATATTCCGTTGAGGGTCTAGTTGACACCGTCTAAATGTACAAATCCCTGTCCAACCCCACCTCCCAGCCCAATCGACTATTCAGGTGCGTAATAAGCGTGATGGCTCAATACTGAACCCGTAATATGGCGAAAATACAAGTGGGTTGCATGTTCGCCTCCGTCTTAGGTCAAATCAAATCAAGCCAAACCGCAGAAGAATCTTTGGTACGAACGCCGCGATTGTGATCGTAATGGCGAAGTAGTACTGAATTTCTTCGTTCTGACTGGGAATCATCTAGCCTCGTTATAAAGACGAAACGTTCGTGTAGCACAGCGTCAACTATCAAAGTAAAAAAACCAGTCTTGCGATCTTTACTGTATGCCGTTCGTTTCTTTGAGGAAGAGTAAAAAGCACCTCCAGAGAATGATGTGAATCTGTTTGTTTTGCCTTTTCAGAGTCAACCGCCTACACATGTTTACATTCAAACTCAAGTAAAAAGATAATAAGAGATTGATACTAACGGCTTCGTGAAACTGGTCCTAAAATGTGACTCCGTGGTTAAATACGACTTAGCACGTCACGATAACGCCGTGGTTTTATGGAGAGAAAAAACGTTTGAGGCTCTTGCACAGCCAAAGATCCAATGGTTGGTGCGCTATTCGGGTTGCTTTATGAGCTCCTTTTAGACTCGCCTCGCTTATTTTACCCCAATTACTTGCTACTGTGACCAAAACCAGTATTCTTACGAAGGTGCGCGCGATGGGTGAGCAGTCCGAAAGTAGTCTACATTACCTCATGAGCCTAAATCAGCAATGACCTCGAGTTCTTGCCACTTACTTGACCACGATCATGTCTTAGATGTTCTGTTTACTTATTCCTTACACGTGTACGTTATGTGAAACAGTTTAAGGACAAAAGTAAGTAAAAAAAACTGTCTTTCCCCGGTCAACAAATCC